CTACTACTACTACGACGACTACCACTACTACTACTGCTACTACTACCACCTCTACTTCTTCTACTACTACTACTACCACCACCTACTACTACTACTACTACTACTACCTACTACTACCTACTACTATCTACTACTACCTACTACTACCTACTAGAGCAAGGTCGCGGGAACGTGGCTGTGCGTGAAGTATCGTAAGTTACAGCAATTTTGTAGTAGATAAGAAAAAGGCTGTTAGGGGACAACCCATCTATGTAGTTTCAATGCCATTCAATGATGTCGGAGTTGAGCCAACGAGCCGAAAGTAGTGTAAATACCAGTGAGTTGTGTGCAGTCATGGCAAGTTTTGGTATCAACGGTTTTTGGCTAAATGGCGCAGATATTTCTTTGGGATTTGTTGGTGGGAACCCGGAATGCCCGTGATATCGAGGCCCAACTCCTTTGAAGAACTCTTGTAGTTTCAGTCGACATGTATGCACGTGCACACACCCATACATGTAACATGCATGTGATGTGAGTGCTCTGCGCGAGGAAGACTAGGAAGCGTCACTGGGCAGAACAAGAAGTCAAGACCTCGAAGCAAGAAAGCCAAAAGAAAGAAGGGCATCGGGCTTTCCAGCAACGTGCTAGAGTTGTAGTGACACGTCTGCACTTGCATGTAGTCATATGCTTGTCTCGAGGCCAACCATGACTCAGGCCATTCTGTGGCGAAGGTGCGAACGGCACAATTCGGAGATGAGCGTCGCACGTTGCATAGTGGTTTAGTTCTCATTCCGGTTATGTCAGTGGCTGAGTTTCTCCTATCTTTGTGGGAGGGCATCAGACGACACGGGCAACAGTGGAACAGACACAGACGACAAATCTTTTGTAGTCCGTGGCCTGCGACAGAAGCCCAACTTCAACGTGTGAGCTGTGTTTTCGTGTTCGAGCTTCTTTAGGTCAGGGGGGGCCAAGCACGTCATTAAGCCCCCCCCAACCCTCCGGAAGAAAGATGAAGGCATAATTGAACATCCAAGATCAAAACACAGGAATCAGTCGGGGCGCCGAGTGGGCCCAGTCACCACTACTACTACTACTACTACTACTACTACTACCACTACTACCAGCACTACTACTAGCACAGAATCTGCACTGCCAATGCCAAAGTGCGACGATGAAAAAGCATTCATCCAGATGCAAGAAAGACGCAATGACAAAGGCAGTTGCACCTGTCAGCTCAATACCGGCAATCGTCCTAGAGGCTCTAAGACTTCAAGGTCCTTGACAGCCGCCACAGCTGCTTCCCAAATCGTTTTGTCTGGGCTTTTTGTCAGAGGACCCTGTGTGGTGGGAATCAAGACTTCGTCGTTGGCATTAACACAAATCAGGGTGTTACGGTCGGGCGAGAGACGACGATGTTTGGAGACAACAGCAATTTGAGCCTCATCGAGATCGCAGTCAGTGACCTTGCTTTTCGGGATCTTGGGAACGCGTCCTATTCTTCCAGGTACATCCTGATGCCACAAGAGGCAACTGATTTTGAGAACAAGCGAACTGAGCTGATGGCTGCAGCGGCGGCGCTGATATTAGACTGTTCTGACTTTGACCTCTATTACGTGGAAGGGCAGCCCACGACAAACGATTACGCCGCTTACTGGTACAACACAGCGCCTGGCCTTGGCTTTCCACAGACTTCGTCTTGTCACGACATGAAACTTGTGTCAAGCAGTCATTGCTTCGTTGCTGATAGGTTTTTCAATCGGTTTTGTGATGAAGTGTGTAGGTATCGTAGGTATCATGTCCGAATCAGGCCAAGGCCTGGACCATAAACCCAGACATGTCGGTTGCCAAGGAAAGAGTACTGCAACAGTGAAGATGGTGAGCTGCTGCGCTTGACTTGTGGAGTCACGTGCGGGTGCGCTGAGCCATCTACGAACCCGTGGTTCCGCGTGGTGGAGAGGGGATGCTCCAAAAAATGTCGTCTGAACATGACCAGACTCGTTTGTTGGTTTTTGTTTTATTCGGCTTTTGACTTTGCGTAAACCTGGCCAGAATCCCCAGAAGAGAGCTTGTCTGCAGGCATTGACGAAATGAAGGTCGTAATCGACGAAATAAACTGCACCGATGTTCCAGTGGAGTCTACGCAGTGGCAGACATTCTGGGAGGACTACCCCGCAATAATCTCCAGTTTCCTTGGAGAGCGGAACACGTCCAAAATTGACGAGCTGCGAGTCTTCGCGAATCACATGTTAACTGAGGGCTGCTCAGCACTGGGCAACGCGAGCTATGAATACGAAGAGCTGACTCAGACGAGCTTCTGTGCAGGACATTCCCAGATCTGGGCGCCCTTGAGCATCCTTTGCCCTTCCACCTGCTGTCAAGGCGAAGACAGTGAGTTTTGCCCTTCAAGCTGTCAATGTCGGCCCGAAGGCCAAGACAACGACCAGGACCGCCATGCAACCGCTAGCCGCTAGCCCAAATAGTCGAGTTAGCCGTGTCATGCCTGTCTAGGATCTGCTGGACAATATGCCGGCGGGCAATCCGGACTTCAACGGGATTATGAACTGCCGAATGGCAGCGGCCAGCGACCTCTGCACGCCCCACCCGATCGTTCGACAGCACTGTGAGTTGAGCTGCTCCTG